GCATCCCACGGTCCTTAGGAAGGAGTTTGGGGCGGGGGGGGGGGGGGGGGGGGAGTGTTGGTTGAGAGTGACGGTGAGGCGAGGAGGAGGAGGAAGGAGGAAGACTGGTAAGAAGGGGGTGGGGGGAGACGGAGCTCCTGAAATGGAGCCAGCCCAAACGGGCGACGATGCTGGAGCAGGGGCTGCGTCATTTCGGGGCTGGGAGAGGGCTCAGCTCACCCTCGCCGCCTGCCTGTCTACAGACAGTGGGGAAAGACACCGGCAGGCCGGGGCAGGGTGCGGGGCGCTGCGGGGTCGGGGCCACCTCCGCCCGCCCTTCTCTGCAAGCCCCCGGGGCGGGAAAGCCCCACGCTAGGGGAAGGGCTAAGTCGCCTTCGGTCTGCCTAGCGATGTCAGAAAAGACAGGAACAGAGAGAGGCGTACGGGACATGTCGGCCGCAGGGCAGCGGGCAGGATCTGCCCCGAATGGGGGCCCGCAGCAAAGCCGACTCCCGCGGGGGTAACGGGTCCCGGGACGGCGGGGGTAGGAGGAATGATCAGCATTTATAACGTCGGGGAGGCTCACAGCCTTTCAAAGAGTTTCAGCTGGGTGAGTGGAAATGCCTTCTGCCCCTTTCACATTTGGAAGCACAGCAGTCTTTAAGCGGGAAGGGGGGGGAGGAAGCCTTTTTTTTTTTTTCCTGCTGGACAGTGGGTCTCTTTCAGCCTATTGTCATGTCCTATGGCTGCAATTATAAATAAACTTTCCTTCTGCAGAAAGGAAATAGCTGAGACTCGGGGTCTGAAGCTCGTGAATGGCCAGCAGATCCCCTGGCCTCTGCTGGCCCATGCCAAGGGGCAGAGGAGGTGGTGGTCTAGCCCTGCACTGAGAGACTGTGCGTGCAGCATGCTGCATGTCTGAGGCAAAATAACTAGCCTGGGAACACCTTTCCTTCCTTCAACTATGCCCACCTGGTCCAAGGCAATTTCCTTCTGAAGCTCATCCCCTCAAAGGCTTCAAGTGCTCATGTTCACTTATTTTATTTTTTTAAACTTCTTTCCCTACCTCTCCTGTGGTCTCATATTTAAAAAGCAAAGCTGCTCTTGGTGGGCTGAGATTACAGGTGCCATCATGGAGGCCCATGGTGAGCATCGGTAAAAAGCAAGAGAGACCTGAGTCCCCAGGCAAGATTACAGTGCTGGTACACAACTATGTGTATTGTTGTCCAAGCCTTTTACAACGCCTGCCACAGAAAAGGTGTTGCATGCAAAGTCCTTAAAATATTAGCCATATTCATCATTGTTATGTGCATATAGATTTTAGCTTATTTTATCACTTTGTGTGTGTGTGTGCAATATATGTGTGTATGCACATATACACACATTTATATCTATGTATATATTCAATAGTGATGGGCCTGCTAAACTGAGCAGTGATTTCTCTCCTACAGATAGACGTATAATACACACATAGTGATGATACCTAAGGTGTTTGGAGGTGGGGATGCATATCTTATAAATTTGAAGTTTTTATCAGGCAGAGCAGATTACTTTAAGCGTTCAATTTCTCAGCGATCCAATTTTATTAGGATTTACTATCATTTGTGCTGCACATCCCTGGGGAAATAATGCTTTGATTAATGTAATCCTGGGCTGGGATCCGCCACATGCCCCTCTCCCAAGAGATGGGCCCTGTTTGACAAACAAAAACAGAGCAGCAACTATTGCAATTTGCACTCACCTTTTGAAAGCGCACAGGCCAGCACGCATACACACACACAAAATATTACCCTCTCCTCCCCCCAGCCCCAAATACAATAGCAGCATCTCAAAACAATGTGCACTTATTTATTTACACACAATGCCTCTGATTCAGTGTGGGCTGTACAGTCCAGCCCTCAAATGCACAGAGGCAGCCCAAAAAGGATCCTGCTCTGTCCCCCACTGAGAAGCTGAAACATCTCTGGGAAGCTCAATGTTTCTCTGTATTTCAGGCTCTCCTCAGGCTCCCAACATTTCTGCCTCTTTGTTTCCCACTGCAGGCCTTGCTGCAAACCGATTTTAAGTCTACTCCTTCAAACCGCTGGCAGCCCATGGACCCAAGAAGCTGTCCTTGTAAGGCTCCCTGGCACCCACCTGGGGGGACATGTGCCTGTCTAAACGGGCCCTGGTAAGTGAATCACTGCCAGACACTCTGCCCAGTTCACGGGGAGAGTGGGGGGACCCAGAAAACGACCTCAAACACAAAGTGTGGTCATATATTTTTAAAGAGAAGAAAAGAAAGTATTCCTCTACCTTTGAGGGTTGCTGGGGTTTGAGCAGCTTTGTTCCAGTCACCCCCCTCAACGCCCCCCCCCCCTTCTGTTTATGTCAAAGGCTGACAGGAACAATAGCGTTTAAACAGGAATAAACATGCACAGATCAGAGTCCAGCCCTGGAGAAAGCTCTTCCTTTCTTTGCATCCTTAAGTGAACTGGCCAGTGTTTCCCCCTTTCCTCCTTCCCCCTCTCCCCCACAAAACGACGCACATCATCGACAGTCCAAATAGCAGTTTAATGTTGAATTTCTTCCCTCCACCCCTCTGGAACAAAGCGGGTCACACTGCACCTGAGGAGGACATCCAGCCTCAAAAAGGCTCTGGTCGCACTTCGACCACTTTATTCCAAGTCCGGATTAATAAATCCAGGGGAAGAAGGAGGGGAGGGATCTCCAGGCTGGAGATGAGGAGGGATGAGGTTTGTGCCGAGGTTTTTAATAAGCTGCTGCTCTCTCTCTCCTTCATGTTTACCCACTGACCCCCAATACGATGACTCAGCGATTACCGAGCACTGGATGTCTGTGTGTGAGGGTGTGAGGGGCTGGGGGGGAATTCCTCCCCCTTTCCTCCTTCTTTTCTTTCTGATGAAAAACGTTGCAATTACATTTCTGCATGCTGATCTGAGAGTTCAAATAACAAGCCTTAAATGCGTTATCAGGCGCTTGTTAAGGAGGGAAAAGGGGAGTGAAGAGAGGAACAAATCCAGATGCATATGCTTCTGTACACGCCTGGATGTAAGTATACCTATATATCTGCACACTTATACATGCATATAGATACATTTTTAAATGACAGACTGCTAGAAGAAGAGATGGACTGTTGTTCGGCCTGAGTGCCTTCACCCTGGCGGATGAGAAAACAGCACTAACCAAACGAGAGAAGAAAGACCAAGAGGTGCAAATTACTCCAGGGAAAAGTTATTTAGACACAATCTCTAGATTTTCCCAGTGCAAACTGACTCTCCTACCGGGTTTGATACAGTTTACCCGCTTCCCTTCTCCATACCACCCTGGGGTGATTCATCCCTATTTCGCATTTTCCTTCTTTGACGCATCCTTCTTTCCCGTCGCCCCGCCTGGGAGGGCGTTTTCCGGAACCTCGCGTGGCCGCGGCCCGCTCCGCGACCGCGGAAAGGCCGGTGGAGTGGGAGCCGCCCCCGGGGACGCAAAGTGGCGGCAGGCTCCCCGCCGGGGCTTTCGGGTCCCAGCCTCCGCCTCCCACACTTCTCCCCCCTCTCCCCCCACCCCCAGCCAGCTCCTAGCAGGCGGCAAGAAACCGTTTCAAAAGTAGGATGGTGGGGCTGAATTTAGAGAGGGGAGGAGGAAATAAATGCAAGGAGATGATGAATAACGTTAACTTTTGACTGTAGGAGTCATGATGGAGTTGAGCGAAGCTGCAGGGAAATACGTCATTTAATCCCAGGGCTACTGAAGTCCCTTTTATCAAACGTCGGGATGCTGGAATTATGCTGCTGTAAAGTACTTAAAAGTATCCAACATCAGGCAAATATATAGATTGGAGGAATGGGTGTAAAATGAAGGCACGTACAAACTAATCACACGACCGTGAAAACCCCAAGCGGATTAGATAAATATAAATAGATGTGCATTAAAAAAAAAAAGGCACGATAAAACTGTAGCTGCTGCATTCACACAAGGAGAACAGACAGCGTGTGCATGTTTGTGTGCAATGCCAAAAAGAGCAGCCTTAAGGTTGACCTACTGCAATCTGCACTGAGCTCCTTAGACAATAGACAAGTTCAAATGTCAAAAAATCTAATAATAATAACCAGAGCTGCCAAACTGCACGAACTGTTTTCTGGTGTATCACAATTATTCACCCTCTTATCCACTAAGAGACTGCCAGTCCTTATGTGCGTAAAAGAAAATCTATGTAATGCATATGGATCTTTTTTTTTTTTTACATGTGAAAAGCCATTGAGATGGCAAGCACGCAAATCGGAATGATATCATGTCTAATAAAAGCAGGGCTAAGGTTTTC